GTAGCTTTTGAGCATTCAGTATAAGTTTCGTTTCGAACAATGTAAAAAAGGTCGGTAAATATTGGGGATGAATTATATCAATAGATGCATTACAGTCAGACACCAAAATGGAAAAGAGTAACATAACCCATCACACGCCACTGGTAGCGCGGTATGTTTTTGTGTATGTTTGCGTGAATCTCACTTTATATACAGCAAGAAGACCAAAATCCCTAGCGTACGTTGCATCACGATACCTTCATTCATGCCTAACTATACCAACGGAGAATAATCCTTAGGAAATACGTATTCATAGAAGCTAATGCTTACTATATATATATATATATATATATATATATATATATATATATATTTATCAATTAATTATGGAATCTCTCAAGGAGACTATTTTCATTTCAATCTCCTTATACTTATGACGAAGTTGAAAAACTATAATACAAAGATAAGCATTATAGAAAAATATATGATTTCCAATGATAAAAATAAGATTTTCTATATCTACTTATAGGGGGCAGGGAACAATTAAATATAGATATATATGTTAAATTATCGTTTACTTGAACATTTCGTTTCTGTGCACATCATATCGAGGGATTCAGTTTATTTGCCAGTCTATTGGGTTTTCTCCTTTTTGTTTTACAATGTTTTCGAACGTATTATACTAAAAGCTAGATTGGCAGTGAGATGTATAATTTATAATTCCTTAAACATTCATATCTCAGTCTACAGCTTTATGGAAACTATAGTACTTTTTAAACTACTTGCCATAAATGATTAATTTCACCAGTACATCTATACACCAGAAAAAGATTTAAGAAACAACATATACAAAAAAAGTGTTTCAGGATCTAAATAAGACCAGGGGTAGACACTTCTTGTCCATGGCATACAGCATAATGTTAAATCTTAAGCTTATCCTGTGGTAGTCTCCATCTTCTATTGGTCACCACCACCAATGAATCCACAGATGTAGATGTACCACATAGGTCGCCGAAACGATAGTAAACTTTTTCCTCTGTATATGTGTCGGTCAGTATTCGCCATGTAGCAATATGCAGTGCGGCGGATCAGAAATCCTGACAGTGTAAGCATCATGGGCAAACGATGAAAAATCGAAGGAGCTAGAACTCCACAAAACACTTTATACCACACCCCAACCGTCAAGAATTTCGGAAGTGGTATTCTTTGGTTAAAATGTGAGTCTCGGTTGAATTTTTCCATTTCTCCACTCCTCAACAAAAATTGGTAAATTACGTTTTAAAATTAATTTCTAGTTACGGTCATGCAACTCACAAAAAGCAACGTTAATTGCTTGAAATATGACATTTGATTAATCCGTAAATATGCTTGAAAAATCGAAGAGAGTTCTAATTAAGTTTTAAATGAACCGTGGGGACGCCTACGACAAGAAAGCTTTCCATTCCCTCCAGCGTAACCTCCATTTGTCAGGGGCTTCTTCAGTGTGCTAACTATACGCAAAGAAGGGGGAGAACCGGTACTCACGTTTCAACAAGAAAACATTCTGTGTAATATGCCAGAGGAGCTAATGTATTTCAATAATGTATTGCTTTCTTAAATCCGTAAGCAACATGTTAGCTTTTTAATATTTTTTATTGATTTGCTTTCAGGATTCTGATATTAACTCCGGAAGAAGAAATTAGCTTATTGCAGCGCGAATAAAATTATACCAAGAAATGATGAATTATAGTTAGCCTTTTGTATCTGTCAATGATGCTGTGGTGTTCCGAGAAGTACTAGAGGAGGAACAGAACGTATGTTCTCTACGTCAAAAATGGATATTCATATCATGGAAACTTTCATCCTATGTCCTTTCAGAGAATCTCTGCAAATGGATGGCTAACTTAATTTCTTGTCGCAAGATATCCGTCATAACTGAAGGGATCTGTTCTTTATCCTACAAGTTCTACGCGGGTGTTCCCCAGAGATCGGTCTTGGCTCCGACAGGGTTCCTCTTACATATCAGCCATCTCATTTCCTGACCGATCCATCAATCTGCTGATGATAGCACCTTACATGCAGGAATTCAGAGCGACAGGCCGATCTCTACAGATGAGCTGGTGAAAGGAAGACTTGCGGCGACTTCCTCTCTGACGACATACCTGGAGGCTTCGGGACGACGCAAAAATTTGTACAGTTTGCACCGTATTGAAAAAAATCGTCTTAGCGCTTATACGGTTTCGAAGTGTGGCAGAGTTTTGCCACTTCGGCTGGTCGGACTCCAGATCACCCAGGACTTGATCTGGCACAAGATCTCGTCAATAGCGGCAGCTGCTGGGAAAGAATTAGGGCCTACTAAGCTATTTGTTTAGGGGTAACAAGTACTTTTCTCCACATGACCTCCAGGACCCAGATAAGACCTAGCTTCGAGTATCGCTTGCTATTATGGTGCTGCCGCCCCAACTACATTATCCATGCCCGATGCTGTTCAGAAGAGGGCTGTCCGACTGACGAATGACTGTCCTCTAACGGAGAGTCTCGGGTTTCTTTCGCATCGACGAACCGTCGGCGATCTAGCTCTCTTCTACCGCTACGCTATGATGTGCCTGACAGACAGACCAGCTTGACTTCCGCCTCACATCCTAACCGTGTCGAACTTCGTACATTCAGAATTGGTCGATACCGCCGCTCCTTTGTTCCTAGGGTGTCGAAACTGCTGAGCAATATACAAGGTCTACTAATCTCAACCAGTTCAGAAATCGGATTGACTATCTTTCTTTGGGATCGTCATAGCTGCGGTGCCCTGGCACTTAGGCTTTTACCTGGGCGGCTGCTTCGGTGCAAAACAAACAAAAATTCAGCCTTCTAAGTAAATATAGTGACCACCTAATAAAAATAAAAAATTTCAATACTTCCACGTCCTGCTTATAAGAGGAGAAGATGCTAATTATTATTTTCTTCGTCAACAGGTTCACCTACAATGGCTTTTTGATCTCATTAGTAGTAGGTAAGGTGATCAATCACTCAAAAACTTAAGACAGCTATGAAAAATTGGATTCATGGTATAACTGATGGCACAATTGGCTAAATAATATTCAAAATGGTACCACTTTAGGTTCTTCCGGAAATTGATACCAACTAGCTTATACAGGATGTCCCACAGGAAAGTTCATATCTGTTTGGCTTTTCCTGCGCAAAAGCAACGGATACGAGAAGCGCGAGGATGTGTCAATCGGTAGCATGGTTCTTAGGAATTTAGTCGCTATGGAGCTTTTCGCGGGAACAGATCGCGCGTTTTGTGCGAAAGTTTTATAGACAACGGTGATTCAGCGACTGCAGCGCGTAGAGCATTCGGTACCTAAATACAGCGCAAAGCATACAGTTTATTAGAAAGTGGGTCAAGAACTTTGAAGAGACTTTTAGAACCTTGTAACAGCCAAAATCGGGGAGACCAAGATCCTCAAGAACGGGAGTAAAACAATCCGAACCGCTCAATGCGAAAGCGCACAAGTGCGTTAAATGTGCCTAGATCACCATTACAGCGCATTATGAAAAAGGACCTTAGGCTGCAGCCATATAAAATTCAAATTGTACAAGAATTGAAGCCCCAGGATGTCAGAGAACGGCTTGAGCTTATAAATCAGGCAATTGAGCACTTTTCAACGTTCAACATCTTGTTTTCGGATGAAGCTCATTTTCATCTGAATGGACATCTCAATAAGCAAAACTGCCGCTACTGGAGTGAGACTAACCCAAAACGCTAGCATGAGAAGCCCCTACATTCCCCTAAAGTGACCGTATGGGCTGGAATGTCGCGCGAGGAATTATCGGCCCTCACTTTTTCGAGGATACAACAGGACGTACAGTGAAAGTCATCTCGGAGCGTTATGTAGAGATGTTAGACAACTTCGCGGCACCTGAATTGCAAAACTTTCCTGGCTATAACCAAGAGACATGGTTCCAGCAGGACAAAGCAACATCTCCAACCAATCTCTGATACGAGCTAGTGAAATTTTCCCTGGTAAATTAATCACCCGGAGAGGTGACATAAATTGGCCTCCACGTAGTCCGGATTTAGTTCCTATGAATTTTTTTCTGTGGGGTTACCTCAAATCTAAAGTTTATGCCAATAGATTAACCTCTCTGGCGCATGTGAAAGAAAACATCCACCGCGAAATGGCTACCACCACATAGTCGACCTGCCAAGAAATTTTAGTGTCCGAATAGATGACCGTGACCGAGAAGGTTTACATTTGGACGATGTTATTTCCAAAAAGTAATACTAGTTTTTTTGTAATTAGTCCACAAAATATTAACTTTCTTTTGGGACACTCTGTATTATTCAAACTTTGGTTCCTACGCATGATTTCATGTTCCAATATTCTATTTTGTTTTGAGATTTTTCGTAAGAAATCACGTTTGCTAAATGTTCTATTCCGGATTTGGATAAAAAATAATACAGGGTGTTCAAAAAAAGATAATAAAGGTTTGATTTTAGATAGCCAAAAAATCTTCTTTATAATTTCATCATATCAAACATTGGAAATAAGGAAAATTTTGTACATTCGCAACTCAATTGTTTCCCGAGATGTAGTGTTTTCTCTCGGGATTGAATGTTTTTACCTTAAGATAATCTCGGTTGGTCATGATGGAAATTGGACGAACTACCAAGGATCACGCTGTCACTACCTCATGTCCAAATAAGATTATCTTATCTGAAGAAATTGACCTTTTGGGTTTTCCAAAATCTAATTTATACTCGTATCCCCTTCTTTGACCAGCCTTACACGTTTTTATCTATATCCAAATTAAAATCAACTGAAGTAAGTCCCCTACTACAAGAAATCCGTTTTAAGTCATATGTGGCAAAGGCAAAGATGGAAGAAAGAAACTGTTATAATTCATTTGCCTGTAGGACATCTTAAAAACGGTTAGAATTAGATATAGTATGATGATACGTTATTAGAATCAAAAAATTTATATATTTTTAATATATTTAAAATATAATATATAAACATATATATTATATTTAAAATAAGCAAGTACATCTGCAAGTGCTACCATTTTAAAACTATTTTAATCGAATTACTTCTATCACCCACAATTGTCATAACCGTCGTGCTCCTACTTGTTGAGTAATCGGTCGCTGTAATTTTCCGTGGGACACCCTGTATGGACTCGTACAACATCCATAGCTCTAAATGTTACTGCGTATCTTTTTTTTACACTGAAGCAGCTTAAATGCCAGGACTGCTATAAGGATCCCAATGATACTTTGTTATTCCGATTTTTGATCTACCTAAGGTTAGAAGATCTGAGAAAAGCCTCCTCATCTTGATAGTTCCACACTTTCAATACCCTAGGTACAAAGAAGCGGTCGTATTGGTCAGTTCTGGATGTTCGAAGTTCGACACGGTGAGGATGTGAGCCCGAAGTCAAGTGGGTCTGGCAGGCACATCACGTGGCGGTATCATGGACGAGAGTTCTGAGGAGCAGAGTGCGCTAGTGCACCGGTAGAAGAGAGCTAGATCGCCGACGGCCCGCCAGGGGGAAAGAGTCCCATTGAGCAAGGACAACGTAATCTGGGAGCAAGCACTCTAAACATGCGGAGTGAGGAAGTCATCTGGAGGAAAGTACTGTCTAGCCTTATACAAATAGGTGAGCTTTTTCCCAGCAGCAGCCGCTATTGACGAGATGTTCCTCCAGATCAAGTCATCTGGACTCTGACCAGCCGAAATGATTGGCTACTTCGTAGAGTTCGGCCATCCACCGCAACCGGATGAGCGTCATGAAGCTTCTTGTAACATTGTCTTGGAGGCTTGGAGGCATTAAACTTCTGTTGCGCCCCTAAACAGAGATGACCTCCAGCTCACCGACTTGTCACTCTAAATTCCTGCATGTAGAGCTGTAGATTGGAGTGTTTGTACAGTAAAGGAGGTGCAGTTGTTCAATTCAATTCAATTTCCAATGTTACTTGTCCCAATGTGCTAGACGGCTTAGATCACAGTCGATAATGTTTATACATTTTACACATACCCTTGATTTGACGAGAACGATTTCTAGAATATCTCACAAACATCGAAAGAAATTAGAAAGGATAATGGATATGTTACTGTTTGAAATATTTTGAATACTTTTACTGGTATGATTTTTTCAGTATCTATGCAAATGAGAGAATTTCTAATTTTGTCTGTCCTGTCAATTCTTAAATTCATACTGTCAAGATTTAACAGTTTAAGCAGAACGTGTTTGTTTGTTCATCTATATTTGTTTTTCAATCATTTATGGCGAGTACTGTAGTCCATGTAAAAATACATCAATTGATTTACAGGGTTACGAGTAGTTTACAAAATATTAAATATGCACATACAAAATTGCGATAAGATCAATATTCACATGTATTGATCTGAAACATGCTAGATGTCACTTATGAATAATCGAGAATCCGTTGCTCCAGCCCCATCAAGGGTGGCCTGAAATCAAATAAATTTATTCAGATAGGCGTCTAAAAATAGTGATATGAGAATAATATGCTATATGGTTGTTAAAATTTGAAATATTTTTCAGTGAAAATATAACACCTGAAACGTATGTCCCTGTTATCTTCAACCCGACTAATTTAGCATACTAAAGCGTCTTTATGATTACTAGTTGCATTATAAGCCACCCAATGTACACAGTTGCTCAAATTTGGCAGTCCATTTTGAAAGTTAGTAAATTTATATTTCAGGGTTATAGAGTACTAGTAAGTAGCTTTAAAATGAGGTGCATCATGACCCCCACTCCATTTAAAAATATGGCGATCAGCCGCCATCTAGAAATTGTCAACTACTAGTTTTTCGTTAAGATATAGTATTTATGCATCAATTTCATTCTCCCGAATTTCAGCTCGCTATTTTCACTTGGTCAAAATTAAAGTGGATCTAGGACCTTTTTGAAAAGCACTGTGATTTGATTTTGCGATCATCAGACATTGGTGTTCTATTTTTCATTGTCCCATAGAGCTAATAAGAAATTTTTTTTTCCAACTGTACTAAAAAAACACAAGTTGTCCCAGAATTTGTGGATTCCTGTTGGATAAAAAATGTGATAAAAAGTTTCCCAAGTAGCCTACAGATCGATTGGATTATCAGGGACAGACATGCCATAATAAGTGTTTATAATTCATCCATAAAGCCAGAGGTTGGACAACAATAAAAGAAATTGAGTAAGTTTCAGTACAAATAACAGATTGATTGATTAATTAATTATTAACTACCGATTATAAAAAACAATTTTGTTCCCTTTACCTCTTACAAAAAAATTATCTCCAAAATGCATATACACTGAAAACCAAATATCACTAACGTCGTAATGAGTATGTTTGAATAGCGCGAGAACCTTGCAATACGTATATTAGAAAGAGATAGAAGCATCTCGTTACCTAGCAACCCGACTGACGAGGCCACGAGCGCGATCAGCGCACTCTTTCTAACATACTCGCACATATTGGAAATTTGATACTGATCGTATATATCGTAAACTAAATCATAAGTATCGCGGCATTGTTTTAGATTCCCATCTTCTTTGGGATAAACGTATTCATTACAAAGGATCCTAGATTTCTGTTATATAAGTTGAGATATTACAGACAAATATTCAATGAAACTCAATTAAAAATTTTATATCAAACTCTAATTGAATGCCTATGGAATTATTAGCTGGGGATCCACGAATAACACCATCTAAATTCTTTACAAATATACTAAGTGACATATAAATCCGAACACCCAGTTTAAATGGTTTTATTTTAATAAAAGTTGGTGAATGTATTTATCTTACTGTAAATAACAAGTGAAAAAATTTTCAGCCTTATCAGTTGGACATTCCGGTTTTTATACTGCTTTTTTTTAATTCACTAACGCTCTAAAAATGAATATTTCAGCCGCAGTAAAGAATCAACGTTGGCGGATTTTGGTTCTTGACATCCTTTACGATCGGTTACGATGCCTAGACTACGGAGACCTGTACGATTTCGTCAACTTAGTGAGTTTGATAGGGGCCGTATAGTGGGACTTCGGGAAGCTGGACTTTCTTTTCGGGCAATTGCAGTTAGAGTGCAAAGAAGTGTAGACACTGTGGTTAGGTGTTGTCAGGCATGGCTTCGAGAAGGCCGTACGCAAAGAGCAAGGGGCACTGGACGCCGCCGTAGAACAACAGACCCTGAAGATCGCCGCCTAAGATTATTGGCCTTAAGGGACCGTTTCTTCACTACCAGGTCCATTGCAAATGAATGGTTTGCAGAACACGGAAGACCTATTGGCATGCGAAGTGTTTACCGACGAATGAGAAGTTTTGGCTTGTTTTCATACCGGCCACACTGGGTCCTCCCTTTAACTCGAGAACACCGACGTAATCGCCTTGAGTGGTGCAGATAACGGTCACTCTGGGATCAGGAATGGAACAGTATTGTCTTTAGTCACGAGTCTCGATTTTGTTTAGGCATGCACGATGGTCGTGCCAGGGTTAGAAGGCGACGTGGTGAAAGGAGGAATCCACAGTTTTTTGTTGAAAGACATGTTCATCACACTGGTGGAGTTATGGTTCCAGGTCACCTTTAATCTTCATCAGAGGTAACATGAATGCGCAGCGTTATATCCACGAAGTTCTAGAACCCCATCTTTCACCCTATCTTGACACCCTGGCAGATCCAACTTTCCAACAAGATAATGCCCGTCCACATGTTACAAGAGTCACAATAGACTTCTTTCAACATAATGATGTTACATTGTTACCATGGCCACCAAGATCTCCCGACTTATCCCCAATTGAGCACGTGTGGGGTATGATGGGTAGGAGATTGCTCAATTTGCAACGTCCTCCTCAGACTCTAGAAGCACTTCGAGAGGAGTTGGTGGTTGCCTGGAATGAGATACCACAGGAGGACATTGAGCACCTGATCAGAAGCATGCCTAGGCGCGTCGGAGAATACGTAACACATCAGGGTGTATCCACACATTATTAAAGGTCAAAGGGCTTTAAAGCAGTGCAATCATTTTGAAATGTTTATCATTTACTTATTATGCTTCATTAAGTACTTATGCAAAATTTTATTAAAATAAAACCATTTAAACTGGGTGTTCGGATTTATATGTCACTTAGTATAATACAAAAATTATTCATAGAAACAATGCATAAAAAACCTTTATCCAAATCGCTGTTCATATAATTAAAACCTTTGAACATAAAAAGTTATTTTGGTTTGACGTTATATTAGAATTCTATAAAAACAAATATTCAACCATTTATGAAAGCATTAAAAATAATAAATAAAAGATGAAATAAATTATTGAAACACCAAAAAAGGAAATAATGTTGAAATAATTTATATACTTAGGTCCAAAATTTTATCACAACTTACCAACACTATATAAAAAAGACGAGTATGATTATTAAAAATAGTTTTATACAAGCGACTATTGAATACTAATATAAGCTTGATGTAGCTTCCAGTTGTTATCCGATATCTTCCACCTTTTCACTACAGAGGTGGAACTTTGAGTGGATTCAAGTCCAAAGATCAAGGAAGTAATAAACACATCCTCTTCGACCACAATGGGTTCCGGATCTTTCTGTTAAAAATAAAGAACAACAACGTGCTGGCAATAATAATGACTGGTATATTCAAACGAAATTGACTGCCTATGATGTACACATACACCTTAGGAAAAACCATTGTTATACATGGGAAATCATTACTTGGCAACAGCGCATCGGCTCGTCTACTTTCATCGCTATTCGTACATATTTCCTACCGTTAACCGCAGACCTGTATCACGAATGAGAATAATAGGCAGATACGCTGTGTCGCCAATTTGAGTAGAGCTTCCCGAATTGTGGGGAATTTAGAGTTAAGTGTTGATTCATTCAAGCTTTTAATCAGCATGGCCTAGACGTTAGAACGTCATAAAGATAACACTGAAGCTGAATGCTGCTGGAGTATAGTGTTTCGAATATTCAAAGCGGAGCGGGACACTATACTCGTTCAATGGGTCATCAAGCCACAGTCTTTTCAACAAAGAAATTATTTTACGAAAATGCGTTATATTTTTACGATTTTTTCGTCACCAAATCTCTGTTTCTCAAAATGTACGTCTATTGTAGAATTTTTAGCAAACTAAGCAAGAAACGTGATCTAGTATTTACTCAACATTACGGATTTCTCGAAATACACTAAAAAATGTGACCTAGATACCTAACTGCCCCAAGCTCTTTAAATATAACACCTTAAACCAGGGTTACCAGGTGCTCAGTCACGTTGATTGTCATGTTGTACTGCGCAAGTCAGCAAACAATCTGGCGTAATAAACGTTAGGAATCATCAGGTATTGCCAGATTCCCGAATACCGGGCACCATAGTAACCGTTATAGTTGTCCTTCAAAGTTGGCAAATCGCCCCTATGGCGCAAATTCGCCACACCAGGCAACTGTGCTATAAACAAACCCTGTTTATCACTATTATTTGATAGTCATATGGTAGTTGTAGCCCTATCTAGCGGTCCATGATTTCTCTCAATACTGTATCTCTACTGTCAACAAGAATAGGGATTACAAAATCATTTATACAACAATATACAAACATGAAAAATATGATTTGAACCATGAAACATTAATACAATTTTAATAGTTTGAACTTTTTTCATTTTTGGAATACTCTTATGTGGAATCCGCAGCTATTTTTCCCGAAATTTGGGTAGACTTAGATTTCTTAGAAATATGAGATATTGGTATCGGCAACTCTGCGAATGAGAGAAACAAATCGCATTTGTTGAGCGCATCCGTCTAAGCGGTAGGCGCCAGTGCCCGTTCTGAAATCTCTCTCTTTTATCACTCTTCTACTTTACCCCGTTGTCCGTCACACTCCGACGCTGCCAGATAGGATCCTACAATCGAGTGTCTTTCACGCACCTACATACTTTTGTATATTTCCATCTCTCTTCCTCATCATAATGTATAATAATGGTGTATATGCTGATGAGTTTTGGATTCTAGCTAGTAAAGGTTATTTTGAACAGTTCTTGGAGATCAGGAAAATTCACTTGTGATTATTGTTATCAGTCTGGACTTAAGTATAACAGTATCTTAATTGCATCTTTTGTAAACTGCACGCCGTCTTCGGGCTGCTGATCTATTGGCCTAATGAGGCATATATTACAAAGAGTCCTGGATGATGCTTATTAACAAAATCAAATTGTGCTGTACCTTTAAAATCCAAAATCACCAAACGCACTCCAGTCTATTTCGTCACATCCGCCCATCGTGTAATCCTCCGCAGCTGACGAAGACTGGTAGTGGAAAGACGAACCTACTGCTCCCGCTTCGTTTTGGACAGCGCACATCTGCGCCACCCAGGCTGCTTGGCCCCAGCCCCAGCCATGGCCCCAATCAATTACTACTCCTGTAACATACGTATAACGTCAAAAATTGTCGCCTTTTTCACCTGTTTTGAGTATGGAATATCTCGTATTTCATTTCATATGATGATACTGCAGTCCTTTATAAAGGAGAAGACTGTGCTGGTTTAAAAAACATAGCCGAAAATCATATTTTCAAAACGATTCATTGGCTTTATAACAGAAAATTGAGCACTAATTACCCCAAACGCATTTCACCATTTTCTTCCTATTCTAAATGTCTACCAAATTACAGAAATATTTTTTTTTCATAATCACAAATTGGAAACTAACAGAGTATCAGATACAAAATCCATTTAAAGATTCTTGCATCCACACGTTTCATTTATTTTGAAAAAAGTTTGACTCATATTTCATCTTAATTTAAATACTTCAAAGGTATTCTATACCATACCTTAATCAAACCACCTTCACCTACCGTACCCAGGCATGGAGAGCTATAATGTAAAGTGCCAAAATCACGTAACCTTTTTTTCTATTTATGACTTATCAGTAATTTGAATTTCTCTTCATTGATAATAGAGTGCCCATTCCTAGGCCAAACCCTTTTCAATGATTTTATTTTGGGAAATTTAATAGTTTATTGATTGTATAATTTCACTCGTATTATATCTTTCTTTCTCAGCGATTCAGTATGGTGTTGGCGATCAGCAAAAAAGTCTGTAGTTTTTCTCCGTTAGTTGGTTTCCTATAAAACATATCTTCTTTAAGGCCACTTAAGATGCCTTCTTTTAGAACGCTACGTGTTTTGCGAGATTCGCTTTTCTGTTTCCGTTGAGATCGTGGTGCAGGGGTCGATTCGTCGTTTTCTTGACTCTGGGATATTAGACCTCAAGCGCCAATTCATGGAATAGCACCCTTTTTTTTTGTTGTGTAACTTAAGTTTAGTTATTTTGGTTTGGGTGCTACGTCTTCCATTTTTTTATGAGATTTTGACCTTCAGCGGTACAGAAGAAAATCATCATCCTTTCTCCTCCAGTTGCATCATGTTGCAGTTTTGCAAATTGGAAGCCATCCTTCAAAAAAAAAGGTTACGTGATTTTGGCACGTTACAACCAACTAACGGAGAAAAACTACAAGTTTTTTGCTAATCGCCAACACCATACTGAATCGCTGAGAAAGAAAGATATAATACGAGTGAAATTATACAATCAATAAACTATTAAATTTGCCAAAAGAAAATCATTGAAAAGGGTTTGGCCTAGGAATGGGCACTCTATTATTAATGAAGAGAATTTCAAGTTACATATAAGTGATAAATAGAAAAAAAGGTTACGTGATTTTGGCACGTTACAATAAGCTCAACTCATATTTATGAATTAGAAGTCTTCTAAAAAATGATTCTAAAGACAATGTATAAAAAACCAAAATTATATCTCACTGACGTTTTATACAAATAAATACACGTATATGGTATGAGACATCTTTGTCTCTTACACGCTATCACCAACACTATCACAAATTTACTAGTAACGATAAAAAAAACAAAAACAGTCAGCATACAAGACATAACCTAGTAAATACTAGCATATGACACAGCAATCACCTTTATTCCGGACTAAAATTATAAATAAATTTACCTGACAATATAAAGAACGCTTTGGGAATACTTAAAAAAATGGATATTATCTTTAGCAAAGCTAGACATACAGAAATTAATACAGAATGAGAGCACAAAATGATTTGTTGATTAGTTGTATTATTATTATTTGTATTTTAATAATAATTACAACATTAATGGTTTAAAGAGGAAATAAATATTATTATTATTGTATGTTAAAAAAAAGTGGTATAATACTAAAGGACTTTGATGATTAGTTGTTGGACTATAAGCTAGTCGTGTACACATGCACTCAACTTTGACTGCCTGTCAGACTGTCATTTTGAAAGCTAGATAACTTCTAGGATTATAAAGTACACATGAGAACCCCCATAATGATATCCTCAATCCATTTAATTTATTTGTCTAAGATTGCCCTCAGCAACCATGTTGATATTTTCGCCTGTCACTATAATTCTTTATTACTAGGGGTATACTAAAAAATAATACTGTACATATATCTATATAACATATGGTTCATGCCTATAAAATGTATACGTAATACGTATATCTTAGTTTCTACTTGATCATTAATTTATTGTTTAGTTTTTCATTTGAATGTATATAGGTGAGTGACACTGCAATACCGTCTAACAAACGGAGGTGAGAACCAGCTGAATTTAAGCCGATCGGTAATTTGCAAAACTATTTAGCTGTTCCGGCTCAGAAAATCGTTGGTAAGCCGTAGTAAGACTGGTAGACCGCGAATAACCACACCTAGGATTGATAGGAAAATTAAAAGACTTGCCCTTAACAATCCATTTACTACTGCTGTCGGCAGAAAAGCTCAACTTGAAGAAGGAAATATTGGTGTCCATACTGTTCGAAGACGTTTAAGGGAGAGTGATTTGCCAGCAAGGAGACCATCTAAAAAACCGTTTATTTCCAAGAAAAATCGAACCGCCCGTCTTCAATTTGCTTACGATCATTTGAACTGGTCACAAACAAGGTGGAATTCTGTATTATTTTCTGATGAAAGTACATATAATTTATTTTCATCGGATGGCATTTTATGGGTAAGACGTCCTAAAAACAAGCGATTTGATCCTAAGTTCACTTTGGGCACAATCAAACACGGAGGCGGGAAGGTTTAAGTATGGGGTTGCTTCTGTGGTCTTCAAATGGAACCCATCGTCAAAATTGAAGGAATTATGGACCGGTACAAATACTTGGAAATATTAACTGATACCATGCTACCTCACGCAGAAGAAAACATGCCTCTACGCTGGCGGTTCCAGCACTACAACGACCCTAAGCACACAGCGAAAATAATAAAAACATTTTTTGCAGATCACAATATTAATATCATTAAGTGGCCAGCTCAGAGTCCAGATCTTAACCCCATAGAGAACCTATGGGATTTAGTTGATAAAAAAATTCGGACTGAACATCCAGAAAAGTTCAAAAATAGTGCCGAACTATTTGAAACAATCGAAGTCGCCTGGAATTCTATTCCAAAAGAAACAATAGGTAGCCTAATTGGTTCTATGAGGAAAAGATGTCTAACAGTTATCAGCAATAAAGGTTATGCAACCAAGTATTAGCTTCTTTGTATACGACAATTGGTTTGTATAGTACGTTTCTCTATTTTTGCTCACTGTATTTTCTAATAATAATAATTGTTAGCATACTTTCATGTTGGATTTGAATTACATTAAGTTTTAATAAAACATAAGTGTTTAGTTTACTTTAATAGTTTAATAAAATCTTTAAAAAAATAAAATGTTTCTCCACTTTTGCTCGGTACTGTAACTATACGAGTATATGCTCTCGAATATGCTGTAGAAAACGAGAGAATTAGTTAATATTATGGAATTCGATGTATACGTGAATCTAGTGGTAGGCTTGACTAATAAGGAATAAAGAACATGAACTGAAAATGAGCTTTTAGAGTTAGATTCTCAAGAGTGTTGTTATTATTTGTTCTTCAAACTAGAATCTAGTCGGCTTGCGAGGATGCTAGCACATCAATACAAACTAAAATCGTATGACCTTAATTTCTACTTCATCTCTATTTTAAGCGTTTGTTTTTAAACGGCCAATTCTATATCCATTTGATATGTTGTATTCCGAAGCGGAAATACCCGATCTTAAGAAACTCTATGTTTACAATGTTTTAATCAACCAATCAAACAAAACAAACCTAATTTCATTAGATTACAAGTACCAAACAAGGAGTAAAGTTGGAGATTTTAAGAGTTCACCATTTACAATAAAAAAATGTAGGACATATATGCTTCAGTTACCTCTACAGTAGGTTTAATAACTTTCTGCTAAACCATATAAAACCCATTTCAAACAGAAATAGATTAAACATTGAAATAAAGAAATTCATGACCCCTGATAATCGTCGTTTTTTGTTTGTATGTTGTTATTAAATTTATGTATTAAATATTAACGAAAAACTTGTTACGAATAGTTTTTTCCTACGCACAAGAATTAAATACTTCTGTGGTATCATTTCAGTTTCAGTTTCAGTTAAGTATAGTAATGTTGAATGTATTCTGATAGATTATACCCAAATAAACTTATATTATTATTATATTATTTCAAGAAATTCGATGAAAGATAGTTCATAAAGTATGAGACGAATTAATCAAGACAGTTTATTAATTTGAAGAAAATGCTGTTTTAGGCTGACCACTCAAATTTCCTGAGAAAATGGAATTATGACGTCACTTCTGCTATCTGTCGTTACAAAAGACATGATATAGAACAGCAGTTACAGTACACCCCTGATAGATGTTAGATCGCGGTGTCAAACATTTTTCACAGATTCTTATAATCAAGAACCTAGGATGTATTTGAGACCATTGCTCTAGGCAAGAAAAGAGTATTTTAGCTATCAAAAGAGTTGACCACAATCTCAAATATCTTGGACGAAACAGGAGTGTCGTGACTGATGCTAATTGGTGGTCGTACGCCGCTTTAATCCCTGTTGGTTGATTAAAACAACTGAAGGGTACCGGGGAAAAACGGCATTATTCCATAATTTGGCTAAATTGAGCTTTTTGTTTATTTTGGTGGCATTTTCCTGATGCTATCTTGTAATCAGATTATTAATTTGTAAAAGCGGCTTAGGTCCACTAAGCAACAGCTATAAGATTCCTTATGCCGGGGAAGAATGACATGAGTCCAGGCGCGTGTATGGAAAACGGCATCAGCCCATACCGTAAGGCGGCGATACATCGGCCATACCGCTTGGGCGCTTCGTTATTGCATCAGCCATTAGTTTACTATTAGAGTCCACGTGTCTCGTACAGGTATATCCGGAGATTTTGAATATTGACTATATTCACTAATTTAGTTTATGATACGGGTTTCGTGTATAATGGATAGAGACTATTCAGTGTCAAGTCCATCAAGATTAGAGTAATTTTTTATCGCCCTTTTATCCAACGAAGTGCCCCAATGCTTGTTCTAAATTTGATAAGGTAATTCGGAATAATCGAAAAAAGCACTAAGAACAACAGAAACGAGAAGAGGAAACACTGAGAAAACTTTACCAGGGCCCAATCGCGATTAAAAGTAAGAAATGGAAAAATCTGCAGGATCTGGCCAAATTTCTTGAGGGGGCAGATTCCAGGGAATTTTATCAACAGTTAATATCTCTTGATCATCCAGGAGACAGCAGTTATGAATATGTCAATGACCCGCTAATAGACAGTTAGTTAAAGCAGGGGACAAGTGGCACAAGTTCAGGGTTGAATATCATTTTTTGTTTGTTACGTTACTAGTTTTGAGTAAAAGTTCACACACACTGTTTAGCAAAGATAATCTTTACGAATTATTTTTTCATCAATTTTACTTTCCAACAAGTAAGTAAACCGTAATTACCTACCGATTTGCTCAAAATCTGTCCGGTTGGACTATTGTCGTAATTCCCCGGTACCCTTCAACTGTTTAGAAATTCACATAGCTCCTATAAATAATATTTTTGCAGATTAACTACTATTAAACTTCTTTATTTATTTGAATCACTTGACCTGTAAGTAATTGAAAATCCAAAACAGTCCATAAAGTTTTAAGTTCCAGATCAAGGCAATTGCCAGGGAGTAAATGAAGAGCTATCACATGTCGTTCACAGCAGCCGCATTACCATGCTGTAGGTGATTGATTATCTCGTGAGTCGAGATAGTTTACATGAGATGCACAAGGCAGCAGTGTTTTTGGTTCGAATATTCAAACTCCATAATTTTCTGAAACTATAGATTACTGGTTGCAGTACCAAAGTCCTCCTTTTTTGCCTGCTATGGGTACAAAAACTTCTAACTTATGATGGTTGAGACTACCGAGTATTCATTTCATGTAAAGCTAGCAAGGTATGCTGAAAGAAACTAAATTATTACATTTGGTTTCAATGTGAAAGTTTGAGTATTTACTGTACAAAATGTGAAGACTAAATCAGCACATAAGCTTAAAAACTAGCTATTTAATGTTGTTTTAAAAATATTACAACATTTGCAGGTTCTTTTTACTAAAAACTAAATAATTCCAAGTTTCGTCATTGAATACTACAAATAAAAAATAATAATATTAAAAGAGCATTAAATAGGCTACTTTTTAAGATAATTTATCTATTCAGCCTGGTAATTTTTTTTCACAGTTTTTAGTGATACTTTAATAAATTTTTTCTCATCAAAAGAAAATGTAATAATTTTTTTAGGATACCGTGCTAGCTTTCAATAAAATGAATACCCGGTTGTCTTAACCAACTATTAATGGTAGCTCAGGATACAAAAATCATGAGTTTTAAGTTCTTTATAGCCATACCAGATAAAAAAAGAAGTAAAAAAGTGATTATTTTAAAAAACTTAGAAGTGGTAATATCTCGAAAGCTAGAAAACTGTTACTAAGGTATGTTGATTGGATCGGCTTGATCTGAAGGCAATCTACCTTCCGCGTCACTCTGACGTGTTATTTCTGGGACACCCTGTATAGAGTTTTGAACCGACGAACACTTTTATTCTGTTTTGAGACACAGAAATAACATATAAACTCAGCCAAAAATTAGAGGACTTTGAGGGCTTATTTTGAGTTATTTCAATACTTTTCCAACTCGATAGAAGATGAAGTACTATTTCGAGCACATAAGAAGACGATCACAAACATTTTTCTATTTGTGGACGGAGGCTATAGAATTACAAAGAGAAAAATAGACACAAACATAGATGATTCGTGAATGTATTCCGCTATAGGAGTGAAATTGTTTTTTACAGACTCTCCTGGCCGACTGCCATGACGTGTATAGCATAGAGGAATCTGTGTTAAAATTTTTACATCGTCCGAGCTTATTATTGGTTGCTACAGGCGTGGGATATAGTATATTAAAAAACTTTGTAGATAGAATGTCATATACTGGTCAGTACCAAATGTTTTTGTATGGTGTGAGGTGAAATATTTTTAAGTCACAAAGCCTTTGAGAACAAAGCTTTACTTTAAGCCATCCAATTTCTGTAAACTATTTGAATTTTATCTACGTGAACTCTTTTCTTTTCCAATTACCTGAACTCTTTTCTTTCAGAATTTCAAAAATGATCAGAGTGCATAAGTCAGTTTTTTGTTCCTAAAGAGAGCTCAGATTTCAAGTTGATCGCATTTATGAAATTTTTGTATTTAATTATTTTAGAACATATACATTTTAAACTTTGATCAACACTGCTCATTTAATTTTACTACTTCACTATTAGTTAAGAACCTGGGTAAAAATTTTAGCACTTTCCTTTATTAAATATTTGACTACTTCTATATGAGCGCAGATCACAAATCTTTCTAGTTCAGATCTACTAAAGGTGTTGCATTACTGCGCATGCATCAAACAAAAGTTTAAGTGGCATTATAATTGTGTATTCATTTGTTTCAACTTTGCTTTATTGTGAGCCCAGTGGAGCTACTGTTCTTTATATGTGCCTTGTGGCATTTTTCAAAGCCAAAAAATCCTCTTATGGACCATGATCATTTCATAAACTGTCAAGGAACTAGGTTATTTCTAACTAGGCTCTTCAATGATACAAAGAACTGATTTCACTTTATACGCTTTGAAGCAATACTAGCCTGGGGTCCGGGATTCTGTATATCACAAAATGTCCACCATGCTCATCAACGGATGCAAATTTGACAGGCTATTTTAGTCATACTACTTTGAGTATTAGAGTAAGGTAGACGCTGTACATACATCTTACTATATTACTTGGCGGTGCCTACTTACCGGAAAGAACCGTATGATCTGCATCATACCTACTGCTTGTTTGCTCTTCACCTCGCCCCCGTTGTAAAGGCAGTGCAGCTCCTTGTGTTGTGGTTATGGAAGAAATAGGTCCAGCTGGAACAGGGATAGCGTAGCCATTCATATGGTGAGTGTGACCTGAGGAGAGTGTCGTTTGTCAATTAACTGCTCTCATACGCTAAGTAGTAGGATACACGATATTGAAAATGTCTGGGTGCGACTACAAAAATAGCTCGAAAATATATTTGAATTAATAAAAACGTAAAGGCGGATGCAGATTTCACGCTTAACTTGAGTCATAACATTCCCTCCTTTTCAAATAATATCGCGTGATGCACATCGATTACAAAACAAGTGACGTGTTATTCTTACATGTACAACTCGATGGCGGAATGGATCATTTCAAAACGAGTACCAGGTTCCTTGTTTGCTGATTTGTTTTATTTTCATACTTATGTACTAGATACACTTAAATAACACATTTAAAATCACTAATTACAAAAATAATGTTATGAGGTAATATACAGGGTGGCCGATATGTAACTGACTGGTTTGTGAAATGAAATAAAATACGCCCATTTTTTCACCTTAATATTTTATTGAAACTTAGAAATTATGTATGAAAAATAATGTCTGGAAAATATCCGCCTGTACAAGCCGCGCAAGCCTGAGCCCTCTTGATTACATTTTCCATAACTTTTTGGTATGTTTCGGGAAGAATATTTTCAATCGCTTCCGTAGTATTGTTCTTCAGCTGCTCTACAGTATTTGTTTTGTTGGCATAAGCCCCATTTTTCAAAAATCCCTATAAAAAAAGTCAGGAGCCTTTAAATCCAGTGACCTTGGTGACCAGTTGACATCACCAAATCGAGAAATTAGGCGTCCCGGAAATATTGCTCGCAAAAGATTCATTGTTTCCCTAGCTGTGTGACAAGTTGCTCCGTCCTGCTGGAACCACATATTTTGCAGGTTAAATTGTTGGATTTGAGGAGCCAGAAAGTTTTGCACCATATCACGGTCGCGCTCGCCAGTGACAGTAAGAGTACCTGTAGCGTCTTCAAAGAAGTAAGGTCCAATGACACTTCCATACCAAACACCGCACCAAACTGTGACTCGACGAGGATGTATTGGTCGTTGATGGATGACACGAGGATTCTCTAATGCCTCTAAATACGACAATTCTGCTTATTAACAAATCCGTTCATATCGAAGTGGGCTTCATCGCTCATTATCAGTTGTCGGTAAAAATCGTTATTTCGGGTATTAAGCTGCAATATTGCATTCAACTTCATCTGTTTGTTCAAATTTCCGCACCAACTGACGAATGATGTTGACACTGGGCACATTATTTCGATCGAAATCTTGTCATAGGAACCGAATCGTTGCATCAATCGACTCATTATTTAAGTAAAACGTTGTGGGATCATGTAGCGCTCTATGATAAATTGGACACATGTGCTTTAAACAACTACTACGGCGCCACCTACTGAAATGCGTGTATACAAAATGGAGGGCAATTCAAATCAGTCAGTTATATATTGACCACCCGTATCCACTCTGTCCTATCCGGTTTGCTCAAAATCGCTTAGAGCTTTCTTGTTCCTCACCAAAATCATTGACTCAATCCTCCTCGTTTGTATGATTGCAGAAGTCCGTTACATGTATGTATATAATATATTTTAAAAAGCTGGTCGTAAAGACACCAATTTTTTTCTCTAAGAAATATATTTTGTTCCACAGGAAGTCAAATAAGTTCGCTGGTTCTTCTACAACTGATTGCCGGATATCGAACACAGTTGAACCTCCTAACTCTGTGCGCTTGGACGGTTGGTTTGATACTACAATATACAAAATTAAAATATTTGACATGCTAAAAGGTCAATATTTGCCAATAATAATAATAGTTGTCAAAAACGTGATCAGTAAAACTCTCGTATACCCCATTTCGGGGAAGTCTAGAACAGTTCTTCGGGGTTTTTCTATGGCTAGCATTAATAAACTGGCATTTCAATCCTTTAAAACTTAGATACTATATCAAGTCCAGAAAAACTCATTTGCTTTATACGGTCCATTGAAAAAGTTGTTCCAAACATTGACGCAAGCTATCGCAAATATATACAAAAATGCTAGGTACATTTTTTTCACAGTAGTCAGACTTTAGTAAAGGTTTTCACATTGGAACAAAATGTAATAATTCATTTTTTAGCACACCGTGCTAGCTTTCAATGAAATGAATACTCGGTTGTCTCAACCAATTATTAATGGAAGTCCAGGAAATAATCATAATATATACAAAATTGCTAGGTCTCTTGTAGAAGAAGGAAATTTTATATCGGAGGCATTTCCAATAACAAAAGGACTTAAACAGCGATGTTGTTTGTCTCCGACCCTATTTATTATTAAGGCAGGTATCTGGAATGGGAATAGACATGGGCGATAATAAATGCCTAACAACTTTGTCTTTCGCGGACGATCAAGTAGTCATAGCAAATGATGTGGGGTACATGGACTATATGTTTAGAAAATTAAAGATAGAATATGAAAAATGGGACCTAAGTATCAATATGTCAAAGACCTTAAAATAGGGAATGATGAGATCCAGAGTTATAAATTAGAACCTTAAAATCATGTAAGGGATACAAATATGTCGGATCTATAATATCTAAAGAAGGAACTACAAGAAGAGACATTGAAAGCAGAATGCTCCAGGGGAAAAAGCGATAAGCATTCTAAACTCTCTACTATGTTCTAAAGATATTCGACAAAAAATAAAACAATATACCGAACTTTGGTATAGCCTATCATGACACATAAGGCAGAAGTTGACAGATACCAAAAACAGACAAAAAAGAATGGAAGTAGTAGAAAGTAGGCATATGATATTTTTGAAAATTTAGGAGTATCCTAATGTCGATGGGGCAACGGCAGCTAAAATATTTTCAAGATGGTGGAACTTCCGGTTATACTGGAAGTTGATGCCAACTTGCTTATTTTAAATTGGATACCCTGTGTATTACTCAATATTCGGATTATACGTAAAATTCTAATCACATTTCATGTATAATCTCCTACACCCAAGTCGAACCGTTTTTGACATATTTCAAATATTATGTCAAAAATGACGTTTGCAGGCCCTAAAATAATTGTTCATTTTCCCTTATTGTTTGATGTGGTTTGATTTTCTGGTAAACAGGGATATAGTTTATTACACTTTGTATGATATTTCGATAGTTATTTATACAGGCTGTTCAAAAAATTAGTATAAAGATTGAATGACAGAAACTGCCATAAGTCCATTTTTTCAAATGAAAACCCGCTATAATTAGCGTAACTTTATACAGGGTTAGCTATCCCAAAAATGTTCACTTTTCGAGTAATTTGCAATGCATTACTTATCTATTGTAAAACTCATATAAGTACAGATTTAGTATTTTAATTAGTTAGCTATGACGGCGGGACACAGGGAATAAACAATTGAGCGCTATGTCTAATTTGAGCTTTTGATAATAATATAATTAATAATTTTCTTGTATTCGTACTCAGAATAATATGAAGACTAATTATGATTTGCTAGTAGATTTTCAAACAAGCACACATACAATGAAATGAATAACAGGAAACAATAAGCTATTTCGATTTATATTTAACTTACATACTAATATAAAACAAAATTAAAACAAAAAAAGAAACATTTTGGTAAATATTCAAACGACCATCCCTAACATCTAAACATTCAAAACATCTACGTATTAACCCGTGATGAGCGGCAGTTCTTATGATTTCCGTTACTCAACTAAGAAATGCATTTCTTACTGTATGCTTACAGTCATCTAGAGTGGTCAGTGGGCTCTGGTAAACAACATTTTTTATTGTTCCCCATATAACGTAGTCCAAGACGGTGAGATCAGGCGAACAGGGCGGA